TCTTTGCTCATTTCGCGCGACGCGTCGCTCGCGAGGCGACTGAGCCACGAGCGAGAGAGAGAGACTGAGACAATGATTAACTTAACTATGACTCACGCGTGGCGAGTGAGCGGGCGAAATAATTATAATCCACACAAGTCAGATAGAGATAACAAATAAGAAGTGTATCACTCAACTCGTACGGATTTTCGCTGACGTTATTCATCCACGTAAAAATTACCACTAAGGCGCTTATGTGTCAAATACTATACGGTCGTTTTTTGTATGTAACGTTTGCATTAACAAGTTGTCATTTTACGTTGATGCGGCACTTGTCAAATTGTTTATATTCATTAGCGCCTAAGGGTATTAGTGTTCTGTGCATTAGCGCCTGTTTACGAAAACATACTGAGTTATGTTTAGGATTTCTTTGCGTAGTGATTATTGTGACTTTACTTTCTTCCTTTTCATCATAAAGTTTAGAGTTATGATACTTTACGAGTCAATTCTGTGTACATAGACATTGCTGTTTTGTGTAAATGGACGTTATTGTAAATAATGAATTGACATAGTGACATTTTTGTTAAAGTATGAAGGAGAATCGATTTTATATACAATCTTATTACGGTACACAATTAATAATCTAAGCACTTATAATATTCAGCATTGTTGCCACATAACATTTCACGGATCAGTCAGTAATAAACGCCCGCGACGCAACTTAATGTACCTATTCGGAGCATTCTTTCTTTTATAACTTTTGAGTCGATGATCCAAATGAGCCAAATGAAACATATCAGTGTTTCGGAACATTTCAGTGATCAAGATGCAAATGTTCCAATCGCAAAAATGATAGACTTTGCCCACCTCCAGTAACCATTGTTATCCTATGTTGTTATTTTGTTCAAGTTCAGTCATTGTCATTGTGATTTTTTAACTGGCTTTGTGACTCTGGGTTCTAGCCCTTCTCAACCTTGTGATTAGTGATTGATAGGCAAGGAACGGAACTGCGCTAGCACTTCTTACTAGTTTGTGAACAGAACACAATAATTACTCTTTACCATAGACTTAGAATATACTGGCGAATAGACCGATATAGTGTGCAAGGGAGAAGAAAATTCCTTATGGCAAAAATTCAACATAGAAAAGGATACCAAATCTCATGGCAGATTTTGAATGAAAGGTCGACAAAAGTCAGCGCGCAAGAAATAAGCTCCTAGAAATTTTGTAATTTTTTAGAGTGTAATCATCATCATTATCACCATTACAGCCCTTCACAAGTCCACTGCTGAACATAGGCCTCCCCCAAGGAATGCCACAAAGCACGGTCCCGAGCCACCTGCATCCATTGACTTCCTGCATGTCTTGCCAGATCGTCACTCCGTCTAGCGGGGGGACGCCCTACACTTCGCCTGCCGGTACGAGGCTGCCACTTGAGAACCTTTCTTCCCCATCGGTTGTTGGTTCTTCGAGCTATATGGCAGGCCCATTGCCACTTCAGCAAAAATCGAACCCGGAACCACGCTCTACTACCAGTATAATTTTATTATTACAAGTAAAAAAAATATTTTTACGTATTACGGACGGGCGTGATTGTAGACACAAAATTAAACCAATCAAACTAACGCTCCCTGCCACCAGAATTGTTTAATTTTTATCAAACACTATGGTCGGGATTGACCGGGGAATCAAACCCGGAACCACGCTCTGCTACCAGATTGTACACGCCCCTAGCTGCCCCAACCAAGGCTGACGGGATTAGGGCCCATGAGTAATCCCATCGACGGGCAGCAGAGGGCCACAATATGGCCACGTGGAATATGTTCTATCACAATAAACAATAAGGGGGGGCGTTCGATCCTGCTGCTATTCAACAGGGAGAATATTAAGCCGAGCTTACTTACCTATATCCAAGGCGACTGGTCCCTCAGGATTCGGTCAGGTCGCATGTGGTTGTGTGGTGCAAGGGAAGTAAGGTGGTGTGATGTGTATCTGGGTGTGACTGGTGGTGATTGACCTTATTAGACCGTTGCCGTCGGCAGCAGCCCGGACGTCAGCACCGCTCCAAATTGAGGTAACCTTCCGCGGCGCCGTCCACAGTCACTTTCTTCGTTCGTCACGATGACAGTCCATTAACTCTATCGTACGATTAAATAACTTAAAGAAGCCACTAACTCTAATTTGTTATAAAGCGTAACACCCAAAACAAATACAGAATGTCGGTCTATACGAAATCACGTTACTATAAGCAAAAACGTAACACACCGCACGAGCAATTAATATTGTCAAATCACTTATATACGCTATCAAATTAGAATAACCAAATTCGCGGTAAATTAGTCGCGCCCAACTCGCAATTCAGACTTTGATCGCAGTCAATGTTAACTTCCTAACAATTTGTCAGCCCGGCGTCGAATTCTAGACTTAACAAAGAAACCTTCGTCGTGGCAACGTCTGCTAACAAAACCGACTCCAAAAATGGAGGTTTCCCGGGCGTCCTTAAACGTGCTCTCGATAGCACAGTATTATAGCAACTGTTCGACTCTACCCCGCCGCCGGTGGGAAATAACTCTCTCGCGCGAACGTCAAACCGGTACGAATGCACCGCGCCGAGCGCCCTCTGGCGTCAATTCTTGAAATTAGCGTTTGGCGCGAACATTATCCATACCCCACCGCATGTCATCAGTAACTTTGATTAACGCAGCAGCCGTACTATGACCAGGACGGAAACTAGATTGTAAAGAATTAAATAAATTGTGCTTATTAAGAAAAAGGGTCAGCTGTTGGCAAATTAGTTTTTCAAGAACTTTAGAAAGGAAAGGTAAGATCGAGATAGGACGAAAATCAGAGAGGTTAACGGGATTAGATCTCTTCGGAAGGGGTATAACATGAGCACTCTTCCAGGCTTGAGGGAATTTAGAGGAAGAGACACATGCATTAAGTAAATGAGTGATAATGGGAGTGATAACATCAAGGAGAGGAACAATTATATTACGCCTAATGTTGTCGCTACCGACAGCATTTGAGGAGATGGATAATATGATCTTCTTAACATCACATACAGTAAACTGACTAAAAACGAACGGAGGATAATTAGGAGTCGGAATTTTAGAAAGAGAACGAAGAAGTGTTTGCAGTTTATGTTCACTATCAAAAGAGTTAGAAGGATTAGAAAAATGTTGATTTAATAGTTCAACATCAACACTAGAAGAAGCATTTAGAGATGTTCTACCAACTCCAACTGTTTTAAGAAACTTCCACGCCCTAGATGAGTCACCGTTCTCGACTGATGTATGAATATGGTGTCGTTGTGCATCTGTACATAATGTGTTGCAGCGATTCCTGATTTTAACGCATTTCCATCGTGGCGTTTTTATCTGTTTTATTCCTCTTAAGCTTTCACAATGCCGCATTCTTCTTCAAAATTAGCCTTTTCAGATCATCAGAGAGCCATCAAAAAGTTATGCTGTAACACGCATAAAAAATGGATACAGTCGAATTAAGTACTTCCTCCTTTTTGAAGTCGCTTAAAAAGCAAACGGCAGTGATATTAAAATTTTGCAGTAATAACGCAATTTAGTAAAGGTTCCTAAATATGATGGATTCCTGAAACAGATGATGATCATAGCATATTGCATTAAGATAAAGTTCATCCCTAGAACTTAATGGAGTAAGTTTTCTTTTTATTATACTAAGCCAGCGCTTAACTACAATCCCACCCGATGGTAAGTGGTGATGTAGCCTAAGATGGTGAAGCGCACTGACTTCACAAAAGCCTGTTCACTCTTGCCTTGAAGACACCCACATTGTAATCGGATGGAAACTCAGATGCTGGCAACTTATTCCACTCCTTTGCTATACGCATCACAAACGATGTAGCAAACCGTTTGGTTCGAATGCGTAGTAAGTCAACAACGAAAGGGTGGATACTGGCCGAACGTCTGGTAGTCCGATGGTGGAAGGGAGAGGGAGGAATTAAATTATGTAATTCCTGCGCACACTCTCCGAAATGCATCCGGTAGAAAACCGAAAGGCTGGCTACTTTGCGCCTGCGTTCGAGGCTGGTAAGATTGGTTTTAACCAAATTTGGGTCACCAATAAACCTCTTAGCACACCTCTCCATTGTGTCCAAAGCTGCTAGGTGGCATTTTGCAGCACCAGCCCATATATGGCAGCAATACTCCGTGTACGACCGGACTTTCGCTTTATATAAAGTAAGTAGCTGTCCCGGCGTGAAGTATTGCCGCACCTTTGCAAGGGCTCCTAGATTCCTTGCAGCTGCTTTGGCCTTAGACTCAATGAACCGCCCAAAGTTCAGATTTGAGGATATCTCAACCCCCAACAAGTTATATTCGTCGCCCGTATTATACAGTAATAACTATGTGTTATACTTTTTAAGTTATATCTATTATGGCTCAACCACACTATGATGCTCGCGCTGGCGCGATGTTGTCCTCTGCCCAAACACTGCTCTACTCACGCGATTAAGCGCGACGCTCCGCACTACGTCGCTCGCGTTTGCAACACAATGGTTAATGCAACTTTGGTCGCATGCGCGCTATATACATATTTAGTATAGCTAATTATATCAACGACATACGTCGTCGTTTTCGCCAGCGGCGATGGTGGTTGGAATTCATCGCAATAGAATGACGCATTCGTAACGAGCGCTCGATTCGGATTGCGTTTGCGTGAGTATGTGGCCAGCCAATCGCGCTCATATTGCCACTCCTTTGACTCGCGCCCAAAAAACCGACAAAACGTGCGGCATGACGAGTATTGTGGTCACATTACGTCTCTGCCTCTTTTCCTCGCTACTTCCCATGCCATTCGACGAGTGTGTGGCAAGGGGGTTAAGGATAATAACGGTTAGATATAAATATCCGCTTCAAATGATTTTTACCCCTAGGTCTTGCGAATACCTATATGCATTCTTGTTAAGGATACTATAAAATAAAATGATACTATAAATAAAAGATTGAAATATAAATATTACTATATATATTTATTAATTAAAGTTACTATAATGGGCAGTCATAAATATTTATACTCTTGTCTTCTGATACAGACACTATTTTGTTACTTTCTGCATTGAATTTAACACCCCAAACCTGAAACAAAACAAGAATTACAAAATAGTCACATAATATAAATATCAGTGAATAAATCACTGTACTATCTTATACATAATGCACAAACTTTAACATTTTGATTACCTGATCATTGTGCTCCTTAAATACGTTTTGGCATTGCATACTATCTAAATCCCAAACTCGGACTGTACGGTCTGAACTTCCGGAGACAAATCGCTTGCCATCTGGTGAAAATGCCACTGAAAGCACCCATGATGCATGGCCAGATAAAGTCGCCGCTAAGTTGGCGTGTACTCTGAAAAATACAATTACTTTCTTAAAAACTATTAAAAAGAAAACGAAACGATTTCTAATACACAAATGTTACAAACATATTAAACTATTAAAATTTGCGATTTTCTACAACTAAAAATCACATCCGTGTTAAGCCATTTCTCATTTGGCTAAGGACGCTTTGGCGCCCTCATAAAACAAAAATGCATCAAAAACCTCGTAGTCGCTTATCAAAGCGAGCTTAAAAAACATTGTTTAAGGGTTGATAATACAAGCTTGTTGGTAAAACCGTAAACAAGAAGTTAGCTTCAGAAAGTATACCATGACTTGAAATTAATAATAATGTCCTATAGACCGAATTTCGAGTGTAGTGATATGGGCAGGACAAGATTATAGTGCCCGAGCGTATGCGCATGTACAGATACATTATCTATTCTTTCACTCTCATATTTCGATGGGACAATAATCCAAGCGGACCGGAGAGATCATGCGCAGGACCAACGGCTTTATGTGCTATCCGAGGAAAGGGGGGTAGCACTGCCAACTACCTGACTCTGAGAATGCTGCTACTGAGAATATCTTGTTAAAAAAACCCGATTACTGATTTTGACGTCAGGACCCCATTCGAACCTGGGACCTCAACATCATCAAACGCGTTTACGAACAATAGACCAGAGGCAGTCAACTTTAAATTGATTTTCAGTGGCACCCCCAGTACCGAGTATCAAACTTAGGTTAGACTTCAAATTCTATAAAAAATTTGAATGACTTGCTAATTCTAAAATTACAACAACTTACACATCATACAGTTTCATCTGTCCATCATCAGATGCAGTTAGAAGTAATTGTGAATCAGGTGAGAAGCAAAGACTACGGATAGGCATTGCATGGCCCTCTAGAGTATGTACAAGCTTCCCTTGAGCAACATCAAATATATTTATTATTCCATCTAAAGCTCCGCTCGCAATATACTTTCCATCAGGACTCTGAAACAATTTTAATAAGTTGTAAATATCACAAAATCGGATATTTAAGATAAACATACTCCTTATAATACCATACAATATAATATTGATAAATATGAAAATTTGTTTGCTTTGATGTATGCTTGAAGGCATTCAATGTTAGAGCATCAATAAAATTTTGCGGTAGCTTATTCCAGTTGTTGACGACACGATTAGTAATAAAATTCTTCAAAAGATTCCGTTTGGCAGCCCTATGGCAGAGTTTGAGTTGATGTCCTCTCAGACGTTTGTTGCTATTCAGTCATTTTGCAGAGTAAGTACATCGTAATATCCTGTCAGTATTTTGTATGTTTCAAGCAGAGTACCTCTCTGTCTACGGCACTCTAGCGTTGTTAGGTAAAGCTTTTTCATTTGCTGCTCATACGTCATGTTTCGCAGTTTCACCATTTTGGTAGCTTTCCTCTGAACATTTTTCAGTAGTATTTATCTATATGAAAATATGGGTCCCATATCACATATACAAACTCCAGCAAAGGTCTTAAGTATGTTTGGTAGATCTTGATAAATGTTCTAGGAGTGAGACACATAAAGCTTTTTTGAATTATATAAAGGGTCCGCCATCTAACTTTTTTTTTTCAACTAGTGCTTATTTCGTGAATGGCAACACTTAGCTCATGTCTAATTTGACAGATAATTAGTTTTATCCTTCCGCTGAACGAATATGGTTGTGTATACGCTTGAACAACGCTGGGAAATATTGCGACGTTACTTTGAAAATCATGGTAATGTTGCAGAATGTGTGCGAAAATTGCGTACGGATTTTGGAAGAAATGAAGCACCGTCAGCTCCGTATGTTCGTTACCTTGTGAAAAAAGTGAAAGAAACTGGCATCCTCATCGATAAACCAACGCGTGAAAAGCCAAAAACAGTGCGTACACCCGAGAATATTGCTGCTGTGGCCGAAAGTGTGCGTGAAACGCCATCAACATCAGTTCACCGTCATTCTCAACAATTGGACATTTCGGAGACATCATTGAGACGAATTTTGCGTAAAGACCTTGGTATGACGCCGTACAAAATCCAATTGGTTCAGGAGTTGAAGCCAACTGACCATCCAATGCGTTTTCGCTTCGCTAAGTGCGCCTGCGATCGACTTGCAGAAGATGCGGATTTTGCCAAAAAAATCATCTTTTCAGATGAAGCTCATTTCGAACTTGGCGGGTATGTAAACAAGCAGAATTGTCGCATTTGGGGCACAGAAAACCCGCACGCATTCATCAAAAAGCCGGTACACCCAAAACGAGTCACTGTTTGGTGCGGATTTTGGTCCAGAGGCATAATTGGGCCATTTTTCTTCGAAAACGAGCAAGGTGTGGCCGTTACAGTCAATGGCGATCGTTATCGGGCCATGTTGAACGAATTTTTGTTCACAGAAATTGAAGAGGAGGATATTGGCAACATTTGGTTTCAACAAGACGGCGCAACGTGCCACACAGCCGACGCTACACTTGATGTTTTGCGCCCTGTTTTTGAAAATCGCATTATCAGCCGCAGAACTGATGTCGTTTGGCCACCTCGGAGCTGCGATTTGACACCGTTGGACTATTATTTGTGGGGTGCCGTCAAAGATAAGTGTTACGCCGACAAGCCAGAGACAATTGACGCTTTAAAGGACAATATTCGTGAAGCCATTGGTGAAATACAGCTGCACACGATCGATAATGTACTCAAAAATTGGACCGATCGTGTAGGCTACTGCATGGCCAGCCGAGGCAGCCATTTGAATGAAATTATTCTCCATCATTAACCGGAAGGATTGTACTTTCAAATAAAAAAAGAAATTTGAAAAAATATTTAGTAGTTTTTTTTTAATAGCATTTTAAAAAAAAAAGTTATTTGGCGGACCCATTACATAGAGTTTACCTTTTTTACTATGTTAAGGATATGAGTTTGCCATTTGAGGTCAGTGGTTATTATAATGATATATAGAATGCTACAAAATTACTTTGCTAAAATTTAAATATAATAAAAGGAATATGTACATAATGTTTGGTTAAAAGGAAGTTATAAGCAAAAGGTGTGTGCATTTTCAATCTAAATAAACAATGAAGTTTCATTAAGAGGCAGTATAAAATTTGGTCTCACTGTTTGTCATAATAAAAACCATAACATACAACATACTAAAGCTAATTACGTAGTTTACACTTACATATGCCACACTAAGTGTGAATTTTCCTCTTGTATCTAAAACCTGCTCCTGTTTACCACTTTCAACACTAAATATTAATATCTTGCCAGCATTACTTCCTGATATGACATGCTTGCCATCTGGTGAGAAATCTAATGTCCATACATCTGTGGGTCCTGCTTCCATTGTTTTTAACTTCTCTCCGCTAGCAATATCCCACAGTATTAATGAAGAATCTTGGGAACTACTGGCTAGAGCTGTAAATTAATAATTTAAAATTAAAAATTTTGTACAACCGACTTCAATATAAATTATTAAGAATAACTCAAAAACTATTGGTCAGACTTTGATCAGATTTATATGGGACCACATGAGAAGCACCAACTTTCAAAAGGATCATGGAAATTGGATCAACCAGAAAAAAGTTATGAGGTAACACACATAAAAAAAGAACATACAGTCAAATCGAGTACCATCTCCTTTTTTAAGTCGGTAGAAAAAGCAGAGCATAGTCCATTTAGCGTTTTAACAGTAAAATAATGTTCACAAACAGAATCAAGTAATAGTGTGTATGCTTAACAGTTAATTTTGCTCTTTGGTCTAGGGGGTGTTAGTGTGACTTCTAATCATGAGGTTTCAGGGTCGAATCTCACATTTGCCCAAAATTAGTTATTGTTTAATCTGTCAATAAATTCTCAGAAACAGCCCAAAATCAGAAAATATTTCATTCCCATGCCTCAGAAAGTACGTAAAGCAGTTATTCCTGTAAATAATCTCTCCTCATGAGTCGTGTTTGGATTGCCAACCTATCGCACTACATGAGAGACGAATCAGAAAGTGCACCTGTTCTTGTGCACACCCTTGTACTATTACCATATCCTTCGTATATAGCTTATCTACATTAAGATTGGTAGCCGTGACTAAAATGCGGTCTGGAGGACATTATTATTAGTTAAAATGAATTCTGTACAACGGCAGCACTTGTTTTACCGATTAACATGATTGTGTGCTTACTATATATGTTGTTTGTACTAATCAGCAATTACACAATTACTGACGACAGAAATAAGACCAAACTAAATCACATTGATGATAGTGAACTGGCACCATTTAACTATTATAGTATAATAAATCATAACATGATGCACATAAATAGAAATATAGAAATAATTTTACTACACTTAACTTACTTTTACCATCAGGGCTGACAGCAACAGAGATTACACCGAGTGAGTGTCCTTCAAGTTGGTGCTTTATTTCCAGTTTTCCATCTTCCAACTGCCATACTTTAATAATGTCATCCAACCCTCCCGTAATTATGTAATTCTCATGAATCTCTTGAGGGTTGGAGTCTCTGAAATGATTAAACAAAATACTGAAGAGACCTTTGTATTATTAATTATTGTATTATATTTCATTATTTTCTTCAAATTTTGAGAAAGTAAATGAAAATATGGGTTATGTTGTCTAGTTTGCCCCATCTCCTATTAAAAAAAACACTATTCTGTTTAACACCAACATAAATTATGTTAAAATAGGTCAAAATTAAAGTAAAATTAGGTTATGTACGAACTCAATTTGTTCGTTATTTTCGTCTTCTTTTCTTTTTTCACTACCTATGCGGCTCCAAGCGCAACACCAGATTGAATCTTCATGAGCATTTTCCTTTTTTAACTGTAAATAATACTAAAACAAAAACATTAATGCATGAAAACAATGTAAATGCAACCGGTATAGCACTCATATTTAGATTTAGAATTTACGTGCGTACCAGAGTTGTAATAGACATTACGATTAGCACTTATAACTATTTACTTTTTTTTTACTTGGCTATCTATTTGAAGAAAAGTGTTAATAAATTAACAAATGCTATTTTATTTTACTTGTAAATAAAATTCAAAACGTCAACGTCAAATTAGGCATGGATCGACATATCAAAACGTAACTATTAAACATTATGTTATCCAAATATCATAATATCATATCGATAAAGGCAGGTGATGCTCAGCTCATTAGCAACTACAGGCCTATTTCCATATTGTCCTCATTAGCTAAAGTGTTCGAATTTCTAGTCTGCCCTATTCTTCAAGCCGACTTCGACAAGTATTTAAACAACAACCAACACGGCTTCATAAAGGTAGGTCTACTAATACTAATCTGGCTGATTACGTATGTGGATGACATTGTAAGTCGCATTGATAAGCAATAAACAAGTAGACGTGATATATACAGACTTCAGCAAAGCCTTTGATAGAGTAGTCCATCGACGGCTTTTGGCAAAACTATCTGCATACGGAATAGGGGGTTCTGTTCTAGCTTGGTTCGAATCTTATCCATATCGACGTTCTTACTATGTAGTCGTTAAGGGTTTTAGGTCAGAGCTACGAGATATAACTTATGGTGTTCTGCAAGGTCCACACCTAGGCCCTATTCTCTTTAATATCTTTGTAAACGATATACCTAATTACATAAAACACTCGTCCCCGTCGATGTTCGCAGATGACCTAAAACTGTGGAAAGTCATTGAAACACAAGATGATGTTTTGCATTTACAAAAAGATCTTGACGCGCTAGTGAAATGGTGTCAGACGAATGGAATGGAGCTCAATATCAATAAATGTGTTCACATTAAATTCCCTAGAAAATTAAATTCCTATTCCATCCATCTACAGAATTAATGGGATCCGATTAGGAGAAAAGACAGTAGTATGGGATTTGGGGGTGCTTATGGATAGTAAAATTACATTTGTCCCACATATTGACTACATCATAGGAAGGGCGTCCAAGATGTTGGGTTTTATTATCAGGAACGCTAGAGCATTCAAACGCCATTCCTCAAAAATTGCGCTATACAATAGCTTGGTCGGATCGATCCTTGAGTATGGAAGTGTGGTCTGGCGTCCACATTATGCTACCCACACACTTCGTATTGAACGCATTCAAAAACGATTAGTAAAACACTTGGTGATCTCACACTTCTGGCATAAAAGATTTAGCCCCTACAAGGACCTAATAGAGTTCCTAAAGATGCAAAGCTTGGACAACCGCAGGGATCTACTTGACCTATCCTTCTTTTTCAAGATAATAAGATATCAGTTGCATTGTCCTGCACTCCTAATGAAATTTAATTTTAAAGTTCCGTCACGAATGCCTCGTAAGCCCATTGAACCTCTCTCTCGTCCATTTCGCAAAACAGTTTTGGGAGCCAATTCACCGGTTTCCATAATTTCCCAACTATATAACTAGTGCGTAGAGTCAATAGATGTTAATAATATGTCTCTAGCTAAGTTTAAGGCCACAGTAAACGATACATTATTTAAGTAATTAGGTGTAAGTCATTGTTTCATATACATAATATTATTTTGTCCTATTCTAAGCTTTTGTATTTTTTTTTTGTTTTTTTTACTAGGTAATTTTTTAGTAACTTGAAGTATGTGGTGTATATCTTTAATTGATTGTGCAATTAGTATATAAGTGGACGTGTGTTTACTATTTCTGCATTGTTGTAGCAATCGTTGGTGTACTTAAATAAATAAAAAAATAAAAAAAAGATAAACCTAAGTACATAATCAATGCGCTAGTACTTCTTATTAGTTTGATTTGTGTAACCAACTAACCAACGTATTGTACGAAACGTATAACGGTATAAGTAAAACGCAAGGTAGCCAGTAAATAAACTAGCTTCCCACCAGATGCAACTTTTAAAACCACCAGAAAACCACTAACAAAAAGCGAGCTTACACTCATAATCCCTCAATTTTCCCCTTAAACAATTTTTTGTTTATTACAAAAGGATAAATAATTAAATTAGTAATTGTTTACCTTAATTATTACTTACTGTGTAACAAAACATTAAATGTTTATATAAGTAATCAATAAATCAACATACAATTAGTAAATCTACAAGTCAACATCAAGAATATATTATTTAATTATCATCATTGGTTTTCCTCATCATGCTTACAATTGTACCACAAAATTTAAGGCCGTAGTTCTTTCAATCACTTAAAATCAATCCTGTGGATCTTAAAGCCAAGAATCCCGAAACTTTTGTGTATACTTTGGTTTCGACATAGTGGCGTATGAAATCGTGAAAGAATATGAAACTGGGCTTAGTAACTTACTACTAAAATATTCTATGAGGAATCCCAGCGAATAGTGTACAAACCTATTATAATATAAAGGTTGCAATAAAATAACTCAAATTTACTTTAGAGAATTATGTGGGATAAAATAAAGTGGAAGGAAGTGTGGGAAAAAAAAGTTATATAATTTTATTTTTTGGAGGACACTGTTTTATGCACTGTATATTATCATTGATGTTTTTATTATTTTTGCAGATAATATTTCCACGCGTAATATTGATATATAACATATGTTATCATGAGAGTTATTCTTCACAGAACATTTGAATCGGCAAAATTCTCATAAAGAAAAGTTAACTCAGCCCAAATACATGATCTGAAACAGATAAAATTCGAGTCAATAAAGTAATAACTCCTACAAATAATTATCAATAAATTCAAAATGCTTAAAGGTTTAACACAATATTGTCATAAGTTTTTCTTCTATTGCAGGAAACCTGCGGAGTGATAAGATCATTTATTGCTTTTTGGTTGCACAACACTTAACTTACTTTCGATTTTGATCACACATCGTGCATAAAATTTTAAAATAATAAATTAATTTATAGTCAATATATCTTCTTCGAGTCAACATCTCACAAAAAATCTTTACATACACAATTGCGAGGAAATGCCTACAGACGAAATTGAAGTATTCTGAACCGATAATAACTAAATTTAAGTAAAAAACAATAATAAATATTAAAATCTAAGCAGAAAATATTTTCATAATGAAAGACGTTAACACACAAATTGACACAAATGCCATCTTTTTCTTCTTTTAATTCATGGCTTCTTTTAATATAATTCTGCTAATATTTAATAGTTTAATTTTAATCAGTTAATTAGGTGAATTCTGTTGGAAATCTCAGAGTAATATGTATGTAATTTTACTCTAATTAGCAACAAAAAAAGGTTAACACAGAATTAACATTTTCCTTTTCTTCCGATATAATATGTATTTTTGTCACAGAAGTCAAAGTACATGTATTCCCATGATTTTTGTATCTAATTTTTAAAATGCCAATCTGAAACAACACTAAAGAAAGAAACGGCGATATATTTTTCTCGCTTTAATTTTATACGCTCAATGTAACATAGACAAAGTTATGATTGTATGCAAGTTTCTCGGGTTCATACCATGAAGTTATAGATAAAGATTTATACTATTATCTATAACTTCATGGTTCATACAGAGTTGCTTCACCCTGGTGATAGGGATGATCGATGTTATAGGAACATCGATGATAACATCGATATTAATATCGATACCTCAACATCGATGTTTTTTGCACATATATGTATTTAATAGGTTAGAATTAGATGAATAAAAAATTGTCATGTTGTTTATGGTTTACAATTAATGAAATAAAAGAAATTAATAAATTTATTTATTTTATTTATTTATTTACACACACATATAACATACACAAGCATTACAGGGTGAGTACCGTAATTCGACAGTGTAGCCAACGATATAGTATGATATGCCATTTTACTGAGCTCACTCAGCGAATATGGAAATAAATCAGTTCGCTCCAACATGGTATTGATCACTCACAGCGCGCGCGTGAACGCGGCTTGCTGCATCAGTGTGGTGCTCGCGCGAATTAAGATAATGAACCCAACTTCAATAAAAAATATATTTATTTATTCTGACAGAGTTACAGTAAGAAGTTTATTACTACAATATTCGATTTTAAATGATTACAATTGTCTATTTATACTTAAGTTATATGCTACAAAACTATTTACTAAGCTTATTTACTGCATACGTTTGACCCAGATGGGATTGCTGATGATGTGCGAACGAATGAGATTTGGCAGGGGTGCTCAGCCTTAACTCCTCCCCCCTCAAGAGAGAAATTATCCGAAGGTGGCTCAAGCGACTTCGGAGAATTTCGACAACATAATTTGAATTTAATTAAAATGCTACATACTATACAGATTACTATAATGAGATATAAACTTATGGTCCATACACTGATTTCACTTGTTACTAAGAATTTTGTATTTATTTCGTTATCACTGAATTTAGCACTATTTATTAGTTCTTTTATATCACTGAAGTCCACGTTTCTTAAATCTAACTGTTTTGCTTCTTTCTTGATGTCATCCTCTCGTACAGTTGGCATCTCGATTGTGGGAAGCTGAAGTTTGATATTCGCAAAGTACCTCGGAGCGTTGATGAATGTGTCTCCAACCTGTGTTCTGCATTCTTGATTAGGTATCATGATATATGTGCCTTGCATTTGGTATTTTTGTACATGTTCTGGACAGTGTTCAGTTATTATCAAGTCCTTAGTGGTATACAGTAACCAATAGTTCTTGAAGATCCTCTGGATTTTCAAATTCTCCAATCGTATATTATGTTGCTGGCAGCTACTGTGGTTGGTTTTCATCTGCATTATTTGCTCAATACATGTTTCAGCTGGATACTCTGCGAGACTTTCTTCTGGGCATAAGAACTTTTCATCGTCGATTTCTTCACAGGGACTCACCGCTGATCGGTATTTCAATCTTTTCACCAATAGGAAAGGATATGATGGGATTATGATATGGGTAACATCGGAATTAGATATTGGAATTGGTATTATTTTGTAGTATGTGTATATGTCTGGTTCAATTAATGGGATATCTAATACAAAAACTAAGTTATTCCTAT